CCACCCTAACCTGCACATCCCTGGGCACTATGGGACAATTTAGCGCGGCCAATCCACCCTAACCTGCACATCTTTGGACTGTGGGAGGAAACCGGAGCACCCAGAAGGAACCCACACAGACACAGGGAGAGTGTGCAAACTCTGTACAGACAGTTGCTCAAGGGTGGGATTGAACCAGAGTCCCTGGTGCTGTTAGACATTAGTGCTAACCACTGAGCCACCCTCCCACCTTCTGCCCTAGTGGCATTATTGCTAGACTGTTAATCCAGTAAATGTTTTAGAGACCTCGGTTTGAATCCCGCCACAGCAGATGGTGGAGTTTGAATTCAATAAAAATCTGGAACTAAGAGTCTAAGTGATGACCATGAATCTATTGTTGGGGAAAAACCCATCTGGTTCACTTTAGGGAAGGAAACTGCCATCCTTACCCGGTCTGGGCCTACATGTGCCTCCAGACCCACAGCAATGTGGTTGACTCTGAACTACCCTCTGGGCAATTAGGGATGGGGCAATAAATGCTGACCTAGCCAGCGACGCCCTTTTCCCATGAACAGATTTTTAAAAACTCCAATGCCCTTGAAGTAAGGACCAATGTCCCACTACCCTTCCTGATTATCTGCTGTCCCATGTGTTCTAACTGGGAACATGAGGGATATTAATGAAGGTTTGAATGCAGGGGTAAGCCCTTGTCAGATAGACACCTTCAGATGACAGATTGACCAGGAATGGTGGAGGAAGACTGAGGGGCGAGTTCTTTACGCTCTCGTAATCACAAACAGCACACTCTGTGCCAGCCAATGAACAACTCCCAACTTGGGGTGGCACGGTGGCTCAGTGGTTAGCGCTGATGCCCCGCAGTGCCGGGGCCCCAGTTCATATTCCAGCCTCGGGCAGCTGTCTATGTGGAGTTTGCACGTTAGGGTGGATTGGCTTCACTAAATTGCCCCTAGAATCTCGTGTGGGGTGGGTCATTGTGGGCACGATGGGCTGAATGGGTTCTGCTTCCACGCTGCAGGGATTCTATTCCTGTCACAGGTCACACAACGTTTCTGCCTCTCTAACTCACACTTCGCAACCGAGCTGAAAACATAAGACTAATAGACATAAAATTATTTGTAAATACTCCAAATTTTAGATTGCAAACCCCAAACTCTTACTCAAGAGCTCATCTCTTGGCATCCCACTGCGATCCTTTCAGCCATTTTCTTAAAGAACGTTGTCTCAAGTCAATGTGAATTTCTGACATTACGAACCTGTTTTCTGTTTCTTCGATGGTTTCCGGTAAAGGAGTGTTCCGTGTTTCAGGAAGGAGAAAGGCAGCAAAGCCAGCGATTATCGCCATCCCACCGTAAATGGTCATCGGCAGGAATGAGACATAGTCGCCGCTCATCCTTACAATAGGAGCTATCATGGCCCCCACGCGAGCCATCGTGCTCACCAGCCCCATCCCCGTCTGCCTGTGTGGGATACACAAGGAAACTGAAGACTCAAGAAAAGTTCACCCGCGACTGTTGGGCATCAATGTGCCCTAAACACCACATCAGAGAGACACTTTCCAGTGATTGGAGAGCAATAAAAATCTAATCACACTGGGTTATTTTACTGTTCACTAACCCAGGGTGATCAAAGTGAACTGAACTGCTGGATTGGCTGAGATAAATCTGATCCGTTCAGGCTCGTTTTGCAACTATGAGATATTGTATAATGGTTCTCTTTACTAACTCGCTCACAAGCGCTCTATGTTTACTATACCACGTTTCCATTCATTTATTCATAAAACCGTGTTTTTGTAGTGCATTTTATTCTTATAAGATAAACTAAATTAAACATCCCTCCCAACCCATTACCGTTTATTTACACCTTTTCAGTTCTTATCGGCTCCACACTGCAAGAAGTGTTTAGACCTGTTTCTGTATCAGAGACTACCCCTGAATAGGTGTTAATGCCATAACCTACTCAGAACAATGCCATCCCCACCATTGTGTCTCCAAAATTCACTCGACACTATGGAAACGTTATAAAATTAATTAACCCTTAGTAAGCAGCTCTCGGGACCTGACTAGGTTGCAGGGACATCAAACAGTTTCCACTACTAGTATGTACCTTTTAAATCCATATTAAAAAGGGCTGCTACTCATTTTAAGAAACTTACTATCAAAATAGCGTTTTCATGAGACTGCATGAATGAATGTGTAGGAACTGTCAAAGATGGGCAATAGTAAATGAAATGTCATGGCCCAGCAGCGGGAGATCAGCTTAATATCCTCTCTACATTTATTAGTACAAATATAATTTCTCACTTATTTAGATCATTTAGGCCTAGGATTTGTACTAACGTTAAAGACAAAAAGGACTAACACCTCCTATTTCTTGTTTCCTTTATTCATTCACAGGATGAGGGTGTTGCTGGCCAGGGGAGCATTTATTACCCCATTGCCCAGAGGGCAGTTCAGAGTCAACCACATTGCTGTGGGTCTGGAGTCACATGTAGGCCCAGACCAGGTAAGGATGGCAGCTTCCTTCCCTAAAGGACATTGGTGAACCAGATGGGTTTTTCCCCAACAATTGACAATGGATTCACAGTCATCATCAGACTTTTAATTCCAGATATTTATTGAGTTCAAATTCCACCACCTGCTGTGTCAGGATTCGAACACCATTCCCCAGAACATTATCTGGGTCTCTGGATTAACAGTCCAGTGATAATACCACTAGGCCATCACCTTCCCCTAATTATGCAAGTTCAGACTGGACAGATATTCTAATCCCATCGGGAATAACAGCCAACATTTAGCAAATGCTTAAACTAACTCCTGTTTCCCCCCAGGACAGATATCATGTAAACTTGTGTACAATAGGTACAACAATGTGACACCATCCTGCTAATATTTTAATGTACTTAAGAACTGTGTATCAAAGAGGCTGATGCAAAACTGTAGAGATAGTAAGAACTGCTGATGCTGGAGAATCTGAGATAAGACAGTGTAGAGCTGGATGAACACAGCAGGCCAGGCAGCATCAGAGGAGCAGGAAAGTTGACGTTTCGGGTCGGGACAGAAATGGACTGTTTGATGTCTTCCAAAGAAGGGTCCCGACCCGAAACGTCAGCTTTCCTGCTCCTCTGATGCTGCCTGGCCCGTTGTGTTCCTCCAGCTCCACACTGCGTTATCTCTGTAAAACTGTACTTTGGATTCCATCACTGCCTCGAAATGTACCGCTGCGGATGGTCAATGAAGAGGCTAATTTCACCATTCACTGATCACAGTCACTTTTGAACATGATCCCACAACTGGAGACTTAACCCACCACTCTGTAAAGGCGGAAAATGAACTTGCCGAACCACAGCGGCTGAGGGAAGAAATGTGTGTGTGTGTGTGTGTGTGTGTGTGTGTACTCACCTGACCACGGTTGGGTAGAGTTCACCTGTAAAGAGATAGCAACAGCTAAAGGCTGCAGAGAGACATCCTTTCCCAATAGCAGCGAATGATGTTCGTAAGGCCTGAGACTCTGTAAGAAAGAAGGAAGAGCCCAAGTATTACTGACTGATGCTTCGAACAAATTGATTATGCGATGAAAGTTGTCAACATTATGAGGTGATGTATTAAGCTGTAAAGACAGGAATTCCACCGGAATATTTACCAATTAAAAACAGAAGCACAGCGAACGCTTTATTAACTGTGGGACAAAGGAATATGTCAGTTGATCGGATATTCAAGATCATCAAGAGGTCCACAGATTCCATGCAAGCGCACACACTGAGTAATGGAAATGTAATTCAGGGGATATACACAATACTTTGTTCACAGCATCAATCACTTCAATAATACTACAACTTTGACTTAAATAAAACTTATTGATAGCTCAGTGGTTAGCGATGCTGCCTCACGGCGCCAGGGACCTAGGTTCGATTCCACCCTCAGAAAACTGCATGAAGTTTGCACGTTCTCCCGGTGTCTGCGTGGGTTTCCTCCAGGTGCTACAGTCTCCTCCCAAAACCCAAAGGTCTGCAGGTTAGAGTGGATTGGCCATACTAAATTGTCCCATAGTGCCCAGGGATGTGCAG